AATTCTAAAAATTTTTCATTGCTGGAGACTTAAATGCCGCGTGGCGGGATCCTAGATCAAATCATTTGGCTATCTTTTCCCAAAAAATTGTTAATAATAAACCGAATGTGAGGTTGTAGCCCCGAAATTACACATATCAACTTCCCCAGCCCGGGGCAAGAGATTTATTATTGATCTAGAGTTTTAAAAATTTCCCCCTTCAATCATGATATTATAGATGATCTTGAATCAGATCATCTACCGGCCTTCTTACTTATATACTGGCTCTGCTCTAATCAAAATTCCGGATCAACTCTCCACCAATTGGGAGAACTTCAAATTTTTTTTAAAAAAAAAAAACTACTCCCCACCCCTCCTTCCTCCAGCAAAAGACCTCGAAATTGCAATTAGAACTTGGAAAAATATCTCTGAAGCTCTTATGGCCCAAAAAAATTTAAACATCCCCTTAAAACTTCCCCCCAAAATTAAACCCAAAAATTCGCCCGAAATTGTTCGGAAATTTTAAACTACAAAGATCCTGCGGGGAAAAATCGGTTCAAACACTCAATCTTTAGTTACAAAAGTTTGAACTTTTCCCAATCCGGGGGAATCTCACATACCCCCCAAACGGTTTTTGGGCCCCAAAAAAACCCCAAAAAAACATCCCCCCAAAGGGCCCCGGCGTGTGCAAATCACCCTTTTAGAGGGGAAGTGGCCGACAGCCTTCAAAACGTTCAAACCCCAACACAAGCTGAAAACGAACTTTTTACGTTTCCCCCGGAAATTAAAAGATTCCGGCCCTCCTACCTGTCTAACCTAAAAAACACCAGGGAAGAAAGGAATATTTTAAAAAAACAAGATCAATAAATTCCTGGATTGGTTTAATTACAAATCGCATCCTTAAAAATCTCCCCTAAAAACTTCCGTTCTTTTAAAAGTCTTTCCTAAAGTTGGGAAAACTGCCGTGGTGGTCCCCATACTAAAACCAATTCTTTATACTCGACCTCAAAATTTCGTCCCATCTCGCTACCGGAGCGGAAGCAAAAAGGGAATTTGTTCTTTTTTTAATCGCCTGAATCAGAATGCATAGCCAGGGAAAATTACTCGTATTATTCCGAAACATTTTTTGTTACACATCCTTACTGACTGATTCATCACGGCTTTTTAAAAAAACCGGCACGGTATGCTTTTTGTGGCATACCAAAGCCTTTACAAAATTTGGCTTGCTTAAGATATACTTTGGGTTTTTGGGGCCCTCATCAAAATTTCTTCTACCTAAACCCCTTTTATTTGGGGGAGGTTGAAAAAAGTCTCCACCCGCGTCCAATTCTCGTGGGGTACCACGGATCTTTTTTTAGGGGGCCCAAGTCTTCCTATACATCAACGACATTCCCCCAAAGGGTGTCGATGTCACTTAGCGATGTAAGCGGAGACACGCCATTTTACCCAAAAATTTATGACCGCAAATCATTGAGCGGCTTTAAAATTATGTCATTGACTCAAACCTGGCTTAACGCTGGAAAATAAAAAGGAATTTATCTAAAAAGGGATGCCTCCTTTTGAAAGCGGTCATCGAAACCTCCCCAAAGTCAACATTTTTTTGCCTTCCCCTTTTCTGAATATAAGTACCCATTTAATACTTTTAAAAACTAAATTAAACCTTTTTAAACATCCTTTTCCCCCCCAAAAGGGGTGGAATGAAAAAACTCTAAATGCGTTTCTCCCAAGAGCAAGTCGCATTAAGGCACAAAGGGTTTTTTATACAAAGCTTTTGCCCCATCATTTTCGCTCCCATCTGGGCAGGGGGGGCGTTACTACCTGAAAAAATTGCCACTTTCAAAACATTCAACTGCTAGAAAAGCAAACGCACCTTGGTTTTCGAAAAAACGGTCTTTCAAAAGATTTAATTTCCGCCGCTTTGATTTCTAAAAAAATCAAAAATTTCTTCAACCCGGGTTTCCGATTTCAAAAAATCATCAAAAAACCCCGGGTTAAAATTCATTCCTGTTTTCAAGAGACCTAGACTTCTTAAACCCTTTTCCCCCCCAGCTCTGGGATGAAAGTCTTTATACGAATTAAAAATTTTGAGCTTTATTGTTTCACTGTTGTTTCTTTTGCAAGCTTCCTCCTCTAATTTTTCCCCCCCCGGGCCCTGAAGTTTTTTATCGCTTTGTGTGGGAACTTCACCCCTCATGATCTTTTTTTCAAACTCCTCTACCTTTTTTTACTTTTTTTTCCCAAATGGTTATTTAAAACCTTTCAATAACCGCCCCAGTTATCTTAGAGGATCGTGTAATGGACTTAAAAAATTATTCTCTTAATCCTTTTTTAAAAATATATCCCTCTCTCCTCATTCCGTCGGATGCGGCAGACAGTTGAAAGACGGGCTTTGCTGTCATGGGGAAAGTGCGTCATTTTCTTCGTTTTCCAAAGCGAAACAGAAACTAAATCAACTGAGAGAGTGGTTTCCTACCTACCCCTCCACTAGCGCTGTTTCGCTGCATTTAATGTGGACTGTTTTCTATTTTTATATGTAACTTCAACAAATTGTTCTCTGTTCAATTTATTATGATAATACAGCTATCTCTAAGGTTCCACGTAAATGTATAACCATTACGGCCGAGCTGGCGCGCTGCACATGCGTTGAGATTCATTTGTGTTCCGTGTGTAAGACTTGTTTTACAAAGTGTTTGTTTAGGACTTTGGTTCTTAACTAAGTACAGGAAAGCGAACGAACCAAAGATCAATTTAAAGTTGTTTTTTTAAGCTTGGCATGAGACAAAAAGAAACCTACGTGTTTATGAAGATCAAGCACTGTTCATGAAGTGTGTGTAGGAGTGGGAAAGTAATTCTGACCACCCCTGTAGCGGAAGAGTGGCGACCTCCTCTCTCCGTCAGTGACGAATACATTGAGAAAGTGAGGAAATTAATCAATCACTAAAGATCGTCAATTAACTGTGCGCATGATAGCTGATGAACTGCAGATTAACCGTGAGTCCGTGCAACAAATCGTTACCCAGAATTTAGGGACGAGAAAAACTTGTTATCGATATTATTATTGACTCTATTCCTAACATCCAACGAAACGTGACGAGGCTTTTGAACTCGATCGCAAAAGACTTGTTGCAAAGTTTCCAGGACATGTATAGCATATCTCAGCGGTGCCTGGTTATGGGAGGTGACTCTTTCGAAGAACAGTAAGGTAACTTTCGTTAATATTTCATCTACGCTAATGTTACAGGACTATTGACTACAGAGGTATATTTATGTATAGTTGAACTATAATTATGAATAAAAAGGGTTTCAAATTAAGAACCACGCAGGTCCAATTTAAACTCGTAGTGAAGAGCTAGTTAGATGACTGTCACTTTAAAATGGTTAAGCAACTGATGATTTTTATTATAAAGAAGAAAATTTGACACCTCTCTGAAAACTTGTTAATTCTGAAGCAAAGTAAATTTACTTTACTATTTAATTTTTGGTGATATTTTATAATTTCAAAAGCAATTTTTCCTTTTAATTTCTAAGCGTTCACTTGTGGAAGAGTATCCAATAACCAGGCAATCTAGGTTCAATGAATTTCAAAGGAGTTCCCGGTCCTGGAACGAGAGTTTGCCCTCGGATAAAAAGGGTTGTAGGAAATAAAGTTTGGGGACACTAGCGTAGTTAATCCTCAGTGGGTTCCGTAACAAAATTCCTTGGAGGCCTCTCAACATTTTACAATTTATTTTTTCACATTTTGGGGCCCCGTATCATTGATACGGCGGTAGCTATGCCTCTGCTTGGGGGTGAATAAGAAAGATGCCCCAATGCAGAAGTGCTTTTGCTGGTCAGAAACTGCTTGACAGAAATAGCTGTGTGAGCGGGTGCATTGTCTTGGTGCAACAGCTATCCATCACTCCCCAATTTTGGCCCTTTTTTTTTCCTAATTTTTTCACCAAGTCTTTAGTACTTCAACGGAATAATGTCGATTAACAGTCTGAGCACTCGTATCAAGAGTATTTTTACAATGTTTTGGTCTGTAATCGCTGACGTTCATTATCTTCCGCACTGACCCTTCCCCCCTGAAAACCGTTTTTGCTATTCAAACACATGTGCACGAGATAAAAGTTTCATCTCTATAAGCCTCGGTAAATTTTGGAATGTTTCGTGGCTGATTTCTTCACCAGAAACTTGATGTTGATTTGACATTTTCCGGCAGAATGCAGTTGCACGTATTCACTCCATGACGCAGTACTTCCAACTGGCGAGATCGGTTAAGGCGAAACTAGCCACATGGATAAAGGAAGTACGTGGGTTGACGTCACCAAAACAGATATTGCCAACTCCGTTCTTTTTTCAAGCTACACACTAAGTCTCGTTTTTTTTTGTCTGTGTCACACCTTGTACTTCCAGCTACAACATCTGAAACTCTCCTGCGGCTTACAAAGTCCGATTTTTCCCCCTCGGAATCGAAAAATGGTTAATGCTCCTTAGTGTTTCACAGCTATACGTCATAATTCTTCCACACAAACCATTAATCTACACTATTAAAATTCGAAGGTAAACAAACGTATCTGTTCGACTATACGACTAGGTGTATCTTCTCACAAACCACACGACGCAGAAACTCGCCGAATGTACCAAAAGCTCGGGAATGTGATCCGAGGAATCCCCGTTTTGACTATTAATATTCCGATATTGCAATTAGTTAAAAAGATATTAATTAAAAATCTTAAATCGCATAATTATTTTACCCCTGCGGCCATTTATTCCCGCCATGGTGGCGAAGTTCCAATTTTTTTTTTCAACCTTTTTTTAAATTTTTTTTTTTTATCCCAGACGTTTTTAAAACACGACTTGATTTTTGAAGTTATACTTCTTTTGGGGCGTTAGAGAAACAGAATGAGGGTGAATTTTTACGATGCGTGCGCACACCGTCACGGATGCGAAATTGCTTTTTCTAGAAATATACAGAACGGGACAGATAATCGCCGTCTTCAAAATTCTCAGGAAAATATTTCTCTTCACTTCCCTGAAGAAGGGGACACCGGATTAGAACCGGAGACCGCTCAAACTGCAGTCGAATACTTTACCACTAAGCTACACACCCCGTGTCAGCGAACCTTTGCTTTGCATTCCGTAGGAAAGGGTACGAAAATGCCTTGTCTAGATACATACAGAACGGGACAGAGATCACACATTCCCGCCTTCTCTCTCTCAAAATTCTTAAAAAAATATTTCACTTCTCTGAAGAAGGGGGCTCCCGGGTTCGAACCGGGGAACCTTTTCTTTGCGTTCCTTAGGAACGGATACAAAAATGCTTTGTCTAGGAATATACAGAACGGGACAGATCGTTCCGCCTTCGAAATTCTCAAACAAAATATTTCTCTTCACTTCCCTGAAGAAGAGAACACCCGGGCTCTACCACTGAGCTATACGTCCGCGTCAACTAGCCTTTACTTTCCGTAGGAACGGATACGAAAATGCTTTGATTAGAAATATGCAGAACGGTACAGATCATTCCCGCCTTCAAATTTCTCAAAAATTTTTTTCTCTTCTCTGAAGAAGGGGGCTCCCGGGTTTGAACCGAGGACCTCTCGATCTGCAGTCCAATGCTGTACCACTGAGCTATACACCCGCGTCAGCGAACCTTTGCTTGGCGCTGATTTTTGACGTCACTATTAGTAGGGAGAGATCGTCCTTCGTCTACGGAGCTTCTCAGATGCATTTGTTTGAACACTTTTTGTTATTAAACCAAACATACTTACAGGAAATTAAAAAGAATAGTAAATTAATCTTTAAAAGGTGTTTCATGTACATAAAACATAAGAGTAAATATTAGTTTACCTATTTAATACATAATTGCAAGTATATGATTATAGATGTATTTACTACGAACGCATTGCGATGAATATAAACACATTTATTACGTTGTAGCAAATTATAAGAGCCTTTTGGATTCGTATATTTATTTTTGAAGTTATCCTTCTTTTTGGGCGTTAGGGAAAAAAAATGAGGATAAATATTTATGATGCGCGCGCGCACACCGTTGTCTAATATTTTAACATGCCACTTTTTTGGTGTTATGGGACTGATATTTGGGGAATCATAATAACTATCGTTATAAACCATATCAGTTGGGACGCATCCCCCCTGTGCATTCCCCCCTCTACAGCTTTTTGGCCGATATCTCGGCACCCAAGCCTCACAGTCCATTAGGACCTGGCTCATTCAATCCCTCTCTATATACTCTTCCAGTTATTATAATTTCATGCTCATAGGGCTATTTCTTCTATAGTTTTTAATTGTTTGAAACTTTTTAAATTTGTTTAAATTCACAATATCTTGGTTGCTGTTCGAGTCTCGGACTTGAGATTTGAACCAAGTGTTCCACTCGTCAAGACCCATCTAGTCATCTGCTTCATTCTCATTGTGTAGACATGGGGAGGGCTTGAGCACTAAGATATTATGCTCCCATGTTAATCCTATGGGGACTGGAAAAAATTTCACCCCCTTAAGGAATTGAGCTTGGAACTTGATTTTTGGAGGTCCACCATATTTTCGTATTAGCCCTCCCCCTACAGGGCTTCCCCAGAAATAACTCGAATCCTATGCCACCTTGGTCGACCGCACCGGCTGGATTCGATTGCTGTTCCTATGAGCATCCTAGATATATTTTTTCAGGACCATAGCCCATTTTTTTACCCATATTTAACATTTTAAAATTATTTTAAAGTTATAATTTTCTTAAAATCCCTCATAGCTCCGAAGATTTTTGAGATTCGTTAACAAAACTCGGACCATTGGTTCTTCTCGTTGAGCTGTTTCATCTATTATAATTCGTGTGTAGATATTGGGCTTAGGGGGTGGGCGTTATCACTAAAATTAGAATCCCCATGTTTTTCTTATGGGATTCGATCATTTGATGCGTAACGATATTACAGAGATAGAAGGATAAAACTTTGGGATCACCTACTACTCTGTGTATCGTTTGGATGTACGTGACCGTTTACGTCACAGTTGTTCCCCTCCGGGGGGGGGGTAGTTAATTGCGCTTTCCTTTCCCAAGCTAGTACCACCCCATTTGCATCTACAGACTCCGGACCGGTTCTAATGGATTCCTCTTGTGTTTGCTTACAACCAGGCTCGGGTTTGAGTTTCTGGGTGTGTGCTCTGTTTCTATTTTATTTAATTGTTTTAAATGTTTTAATTATTTTAAATTGACCATAACTCGGGGTCTCTTCAGGCGAATGTCTTAATTTTCTCAGGAGCGATTCTTCCCGCCGAGACATTCAATATGAGGTCTCAGATGTCACATTCGGTTCACTTCATCCCCAGATACAGTCTGATAAAGTGGCGCACACCAGGGGGGTCCTGGGGGTCTGGACCCCCCCAAAGCCCTTGATTTTTTTCCGATTGGTTATAATTCTAAGTATATAATACGTAAAATTTAATTAAATATTTGTTATTAATTATTAATTATATTAATTAATGCTAATTATTTATTCACATTGTTTTTACTGTGTTTTGTTTTCGAAAATCAACCAAATCAAACATTTGTATAGCAACAAAATAAGGAGACCTTTCCTCCGACCCCTTGAAAAATTCTTTGTGCTTAGTGGTCTGATACCCCATGTTATTGGTTCTATGTTGTCCCTGCAGTGGTGTTTAAAATTTATTTAAATCGTGATTCTGCGTTTGTTTGTCCGATTGATGAAGGTTAGTATCGTTCAATTCTCGTGACCGCCTTTTCCTGCCCAGCTTGCTCCTTTAAATATTTTAGAAAGATTTTAACTTTGTTACGCTCAAGAAGTATAACTCTTACTGGGACATAATACAACCACTTTTTTGTGAGACTCAGACAAAAATAATTTCAAAATCGAAGACCATTTACTTCCAAGATGGTATAGTTATTTTACAAAATTAATGATATTTTTTTTTGTTTTATTTTCAAAAGGTCAAAAAAGATGTTTTTAAAAAATGTTTTAAATCATTCCCTAGTATTTTCTTTGCTTAAATAAAATATTTTTCACTAAAAAATTCATGCTTTTCTTTTTGAAACAACGTTTTTTTAAAAAAAAAGTCTAAACGTTTTTACGACTTTAAAAAAAAACCAAAAAAATTTTTATTTAAATACTTAATAAATTCTTTTTTATAAAAAAAAATTTTTAGAAAATTTTTTTTTCCCCCGTGTAGAATGGTATTATTTTCTGTAAAATT